GGAGAGGGGGAAAGAGAGGAAGAGAGGCGAGAGAGATGAGAGGAAAGCGGAGAAAGGGAAAGAGGGAGGAGAAAAAGAGAGACAGAGGGAGAGAAAGGTCGGTGACTGGAAAAAAGAAAGGAAAAAAAGATATACGCGAAAGAGCGAGGGCGTGACAATACGGAGCGAGATGGAGAGACAAGGAGGGCGACGGAAAATGTGGAACAGACGTAATAAAAACTTACGGCAAAAAACAGAAGAGGATGGGAGAGAAAGAGGAGATTACTGATGGGGTGATATAGTCGTGTAATCTACCGGTATTAACCACTGCGAGGATTCGGCAAGGCGAACTCGACATGATCTTGAACGTAAATTCATACGTCCCACTGTTAGATTGAAATCTGATATTCGAATGAGACGTTTGACCTGTTTGTCAAAATGTTTTATCTAAACTACGGTGAAAGAACGCGATACGTATACCATCTACGGAACATTCCATGCTCGATTCCATGCAGGAGAGGGAGCAAAGTGTCTCTTAAAAGAGAGATGGGAAGAGAGAGAACATAAGGAGCTTTTTTTCTCGCGATTATTTCCATGCAATAAAGTGCATAATTATAAATTTCGATCTCCGCGACTTGATTTCTATATCGTCCGAACAATATAGGTGTTCTTGGCGAAAATATTCACGTTGGTGTTACCGGGCCGGAAAGTAATGTCATCGGACGGCACGCTTGACGTCGATCGCTGTGTAGGTACGGTCTACTTAGCAATGCACTTTTCTGCATGGTTTACACACAAAATCGACACAGTAAAACGAGGCAGATTAGAGAAATTTGTTCTACATAGTTATATCTGCGGAAACGCGCGGCTACATCCCCGATTTCACGCCTTTTTGTTCGGGCTTCAACAACCGATGGCAGGTCGCTCGCAAATCCGACTAATACAATGACACTTTGGACTCATTTAATTTTTAGGGCATTGAACAAACGAGTAACGAGCGAAAGCCGGAGGGAGCGAATGAGCACCACTGGCCGTCGAGGTGCTGCGTTTCCCCTTTATGCAGCCAATGGCGTAACCGCTTGGCGGTATCAACGTAGCGGCAGAATCGACAATGTCTATTAAGAACGTGTAAATCTTGTAGCTTTTAATGAACCATGAAAGGTATGGACTGCGTCGTTGTGCGGATTTACGCCATTCTTGTCGCGCCATTACAATGTAAAACGATCTCCCGCCATAAATATTTAGGTAGTGCAAATTAGCCTCAAACTTAAGGTTTGTGTGAAAAACGTGATGGACGTACGATTATATGCGCGAATAATTTTCACGCCAAGTTTTTAAATTCCGCGTGTTAACGCCGATCACCATCCGTCAAGCCGATTTCCTGCGAGCGCCAACCACCCTTGACGATCTGCCATGACGTACTTAACGCCCAATGCTCTACAACCCTTTATCAACCTCTCCGCAAGGTTTCGTTTCTTTTTTCTGGCGGGGAAGAAGAAAGAGGAGTATGTTTCATGCGGAGAATAATCGTGCGCGCGTTGCCGTCATCAGTTTTTTCCTCCGCTGGAAATCCATAAGTACCGGATACTCCCGGGACGTGTTTTCCTAATTTGTTCAATAGCCGTAAATAAAATTTATCAGTTTATTTTTATTCAAAGTCTTCTAAATCGGATCTTTGCTCACCACCTAAGAAGATATTTATTATAAAACGTGCTCTCTAAATCTGAATAATCATGGATAATCACTGATATCAGTGCCAAGTATACCACTGGTAATCAATGAATTAAATGTGAGATCCCTAACCTAGCTAATCTTTATTCTGTGATCTAACTAATCTTATTTTAGTGCTTAAATCCAATGAATATAGTATTGGAAAATTGAAATTAACGTGTAAATATCAGTATTTTAGTTATATAATGCTCATTCCTCCTTTTTTAGATAAACTTCACTGATTAATTATCAGTGCCAAGTATGCCACTGGGTAATTAGTGACTATCCACTGATTCAGATTTAGAGAGTATATAAATTTAGCAAAAACCTAGTCTGGTTGAAATTAAGATTCGTTTCTTTTTTTATTTTCGTTCCGGTGTAAGTAAAACATGGAAAAAGTGATCGCAACTTCTACGTTAAATTAGACTGTGGTATCAAGGTGACTGCACTGCGAATTAGTCGCCTTTCATTCGCGCGCAAATTTCATGGTGATGATCGTATAACACCGATTAATACTTTCTTTCCTACTTTCCTTGCCGCGAGCATCTAGCGATATATTCAGCCGTCCAAGAGTATATCGCCGACGGTTTTACGAACTTACATTTCCGTTATTCCAACTTACTACTGCACTACACGTCAAGGCACATAGAATATAAAACGATAGTTGTAAAATAATAAATATCTACCTCGTAACTATTTAATATTTTCCAATTTTAGCATCCTTAAGCATATTTGCATCAATCGAGATTTAATTATTTTTTTAAACAAAATTTTGTTTCTATAAATATTCTGACACTATTCTGAAAATTAAATTAATATTCTGATCAGAAAAAGAGGTAGTTTTTACAAGAAATAGCATCTATAATTTAAATTGTATTTAAAATCAACAGGGTATCATATAAGTGAAGATGCAGTCGATGCGAGCTTCTTAGACCATACACTTTCTCGTTCAATATAAACAATATTCCCGAAAACGTTCCATTGCCCCGAAGTTAAACTAGGACATCGCACGGCATCTACTCCCTCTAACTCTCTTGGGGTGGCATCGGCGCGCATCTTCGTTCGTTCGTTAATCCCAGAACGTCGCGACTACTTTGCAGGAACTTACCCTCCTGCCTGACGGTAGCGTCCTTCTTTCGTACCCTCGCGCGCTGCTTGTCGGTGGTGGCGCGGGTGGGGGGTGGATGGTGGAGGCGGATGGAAGAGAGGTACCACCATGTTATGCAGCCCCACCACCGACTCCGTCCTGACCAACCGGCTGTTTA